TGGCCACACCGTCAGACCGGCCCAGGCTGCCACTGCAGGGGAGGGGCTGGTGAGGGCGAGGCCCACACCGCACCCCTCCCTGGGGACTGCTCAGTGGATGGGGGGTGGGGACTCACTTGGCAGCACCTGGGCAGCAGCTCACAGACCCCAGCTGGCTCATGGCGTCCTTGGTGGTGGCTGGTGATGGAAGGGCAACCTTGTGGCCTGAGTCCAGGGCCTAGTGCCCGGCCCACACCTGAGTGGAGAGGGCAGCCAAGCTGACACCTCCCTGGGGTCTGGCCGGTGGCTTCACTGCTCCCAGGGCAGGACTTGATCTCCTCTTCCACCCACCCCAGATCCAGAGGCTGCAGCCCTGGTGTCCTGGCCAGGTTCCCCAGGGAGCTTGGGCAGCGTGTCCTCAGGGAGTAGAGTCCTGCCTCCTGGACACAGCAGGACCTCCCGGCCCAGGTCCCAGCTGGCAGGCATGGGCCTCTATCTCACCCCAGACCCTTGGTCTTCCACAGGGAGCCCGAGGGGGGCCAGTAGAGGAGTCCCACTCTCAAGGCTGTCTGGGTGGGCCTGCAAGGACAGTGTCCTGAGGGCTCTGAGAGGGGACCTAGGAGAGGAACCCCCTTCCAAGCAGAGGGAACACATGTTCAAAGGCCCTGAGTCAGGTGGGAGCCAATACCAGAGGAAGGCAGCACAGGATGAGACTGGGCCCTGGATGCGGTCGGGTGGGTGTGTGGCCTTGGGGACCCAGAGCCCAGAACAAAGTCTAGACGGAGCACACCCTCAGGGGGGTGAGCAGAGCCTGGCCCCCCTGGGTCAGACTGACATGTCCTGTGGGGTCTGTGCCCCCTGGGGACCTCTGACAAGGCTGTCCCTCTGTATTTGGGGTTGGCCGGAGTGGGTGGTCCATAGGCCAGGCGTACTGGTATCTAGGGGCAGGGAGCACCCCAGGACTTTCTGGTTTGACCAGGTCCTACCTACAAAGAGGGTTTCCAGGAGGTGTGAGGGGCCAGGGGGCTTCAGGCACCCCCTCCCATGTGCCACGGAGGGTCCTGGCTCTCTCAGGATGGGGGGGAGTAGGGGCTTGGTCAGATTCCTCTGACCATCTGTCCATGGAGAATGTCTGGAATGCTCATGACCTCAGCGAGGGAGCCAAGTGTTTGCTTAATGGGATTCCTGGGGGCTGAGCCAAGGGCACTGGGCACGTGTGTCTGGGCACACACAAACCTGGGCAAAACCCAGGCCCCCAGGCACACACAGACACTCACAGGTTGGGACACACGGCCCACCTCCTTGGGGTGCCTAGGCTAGGAACCCATGACCTTCAACTCCCTGGAGCAGGGTGGGGGGCCCAGCAGGGCCAGCCAGAAAGGTGAGTCCAGGTGCTGGCATCTGGGTTGGGGAGCAGCTGGGGGAGGGGCCACCACAGACCTGCTCCAGTCAGCTGACTGGGGCAGGGGAGCTGTGTGGGCCCAAGGGGTTGGGAGCAGCTTGGGGCCCAGATTGCACTTTGGTTTTACTGCGGCCATTTTCCGGGTGCAAAGGGAGGGCTGAGGTTGGTGCCTGGTTGGGCAGTGGTGGAGGCCCCAGCAGGGCAGGGAGGGTGGAGGGACCAGCTCCAAGTTCAAATTCCAGCTCACAGCCAAGTGACCTTGGGGAGGAGTCAGCTTAAGCCCCAGAGGGAGCTGGGTGGAGTTCTGGAATGGGGGAACCCCTCAGGGCCCTGGCTCTGCCCAGGTCTGGGAGCTGCCTGCTGGGGAGGGCCCAACCTGGTTGGTAAGGAGGGATAAGCCTGGGAAGCTTGGGTGGGGAAGGGGTGGGCTCAAGGTGCGCTGGGAAGGCGGGCACAGGGGATCCAACAGACTGGGCAGGGTGGAATGCTGAGCCACTGAGGCCCCGTTCTAGGCAGGCCCCAGGAAAGGCCTGGGCCCCCCCCAGGGCGGGGGCTGGGGGAAGCAGTACAGAGGTGGAGAAGGAGAGGCACCCCCAGCTGGGCCCTGGCTCTCCGAACTGCTACTGCTGGGGCTGACTACCCCTGGAGTGGGGGTAGAGGTGGTCTGTGGGTGCTCCTCAGAAGCACTGCAAGCCCGCCTACCCTCCTCCCCAGCCACCAGGGACACCTTCATACGCAGGGGCAGCCCCAGGTCAGCCTGACCCAGGGAGGAGGAACCTGGGGGAGCCTCAGGTCCAGCGCCCACAGGCCCCCTGCCACCCAGCATGCAGGCTCCTCCTCCCTGAAACTCCCACACCCCTTGACCCAGAACCTGACCCTAGCCTGATGCTTCTCTGGCCCTGGATTCCCTCCTGGCTCAGACACCCAGGAAGTGCCTCCTGCGCCAGCCCACAGGGAGCCATTGGCCACAAAGGAGGCCCCAGCCTGTCCTGTGGAAGGGGGTTTAGGGCCTTCGAGGGGCAGGGAGAGAACCCCCTTCCCACCTCCTTCGCTGGAGGAAGGGGTTCCCTCCACCGAGCCCCAGGGCGGGGAGGGGGCCGGCTGACTCAGGTGCCACTGCCTTTAAAACGTCCCTGCCCACCGGCACCGCCCCAGGACCAGGCAGACTAGGCCACAGCCGGACCAAGTTCCTGGCCACGGGTTCGGCGCAGCCCTATCGCACCCCGTTGCCTTCGGCGCCCAGGCCCGGCCCACGGACTCCTGCCAGAGCCCCCAGTCGCACAGCCACCTGGGGAAACTGAGGCCGAGCCAGACCGCCGTCCGCAGGGATTCTGGCAGGTCTGAGTGGGCTAGGTGGGGACCCGTGGGGGCGCTCACCTGCTCCTCGCGGCCCCGTGCCTGCGCCGCCCGTGGGTCCCCTTGTCCGCGCGTCCGTCCGCTTGTCTGTCCGCTCCTCGCCTGGGCGGCCCGGGCTCGGCAGCGGGAGGGACGCGCGGCTGGGCCGGGCCGGGGCGGGGCCGCGCGGAGGAACCTGAGCGGCAGGTTAGAGACCCGGGAGCCGGCGGGCGCGGGGCGGGGCGGGGGGACGAGGACGCCCCGCCCCTCCGACTCGGCCCCGCCCCCTGGGGCTCCCTGCGGACGGTCCCCAACGCCCGCCCCATGGGCCCCCTGGCCCCGCAGACCCCACCCCCCCGGAGCTGGGGTGCCCGTGGACGGGTAGGCGGATCGGGAGCCCCTCACCCGTGGGGACGTGCCTGGCGACCACGCAGGGCGAGGTTCTAAGATCTTCCCGAGGCAGGTCTCGCTGCACTCCAGCAGCCGCCAGGCATCCCCTGCCGGGTATGTCCCAGCCTCAGCTGCCGCAGCAGAGGGGCCTATCCTGGGCGCCAGGCCCCGGGGCAGAACCCCCTCCTCTACGGCTGGCCCCTCTGGTCTGGGGGAGTGAGGTGTCAGGCGTCAGTCTGTGACTGGGTGTCAAAGGTATGATCCGAGGCCAGAGACCCTGCGGCCCTGTGCTCCGAGCTCCCCGGGCAGGAGAGGGCTCTCTCCTCCACAATCCAGGAGATCCTACAGTCTGTTTTTAAAAAGATTTTATTTATTTGACAGAGAGGGAACACAAGCAGGGGGAGCGGCAGAGGGAGAAGCAGACTCCCCACCAAGCAGGGAGCCCGATGCGGGGCTCCATCCCAGGACCCTGGGATCAGGACCTGAGCCGAAGGCAGACGATTAACTGACTGAGCCACCCAGGCGCCACGATCCTACAGTCTTTTTGTGCAGCCCCAGTCCAGCATGGGCACCCCCTGAGGGATGGGGGTGTCTGATGGGAGGGTGAGGATGCCTGTGGCCTAGGCTGTTCACTACTAGGGCACAGAACAGGTGTGGGAGGGGACTCCAGGCTGTGGCCCCCTCCTTAGGCCCAGGCCCCACCCTCTGCCCCCAGCGTGGGGCCAGTATCCTTCCTCCTGAACTGACTCCCCCTGCCTCTGCCAGCTGGGTGAGGAGGAAGTAGAGAAGAGGCAGAGGGCAAGTCCAGGCAGTGGTGGGCACCCCAGGCACATGCAAGGACCCAAAGCCTCTGGCTATTGTTCCTGGGGTGGGGTGGGGGGTAGAAAATGGTGCATCAGGAGGCAGGGTTCCAAAGGCCGTTGGCCTGTTTACCTGGGGCTGACAAAGAACACTTCCTGGGGAACCCCCCTGGGGGAATGGCAGCACGCCCCCCCCACCCCAGCCCCCGCCCCCGTAGCGGGCCTCCCCACCTGCTGTCTGAAGCATCACAGGTGAGCTCTCAGAGGTGGTGCAGGAAGTGGCCCTCCTCTCAGGCCCAGCCCTGCCCCTGAGCCCTGGCAAGCCCTGGCTTCCTGGTTCTCTCTCCTACTCTGCTGAGCATCCAGAGAAGGCACAGGCCTGCCCTCATCCTTCCTGGAGACTGAGCCTGGGCAGGCAGGAAGTGGGAAGCACGCACCGAAGGGAGCAGCAGAGGTGGGTGCTATTGCACTTCTGAAATTAAAGTGATTGTCACCAGACCAGGAGGCACAGCAGGGAGCCTCTGGAGCTACCTGGAGCTGTGGTGTCCTCTGTGGACAGGTGACTGCCACCTGTGTGGCCAGAGCGATGTGGGTGTCAGGGCTGGGCCTACATCCTTGGGCAGGAGGTCCTGAACCTTTAAGGCCACAAGTGTCACGCGGCCAGGGTCTGCGGGGGAGCTGGCTGTTTCCACAGAGAGCAAGTGCACCCGTCCCATCCTTCCCAAGTCCCCTGGGGAGTGCCCTGGCGTCAGAGGCAGGAAGCTCCGCTGAACACAGAGCAGCAGGTAAGCACGAGGGCGCCTACACGCGGCCTCAGGGCCCCAGGTGTGCACCGGACCAGAGCCAAAGCCAGCGGGGCGGGGCGGGGGGGAGCGGTCCTGCCCCCAGCTGCCCCTGAGGACAGGTGGGGGAGGGTGCTGCTGCTGCCCTCGCTGAAGCCGGTCCCTGGGAAGCGCTCCAGGACGGGCCCCAAGCCCAGCTCTGCTGCCTTTCGGGGAAGCACCGCTCCCTGGGTGTCTGGGTGAGGCCTGGGTGGGCTGTGCTCCTGTCTATCCAGAAAGAACCCTGGAAGAGGTAGGTGGCCTTAGGAGAAATTGAGGGAGGTATAAACGTTTATTTCAACAATATGGCAAAGAGAAAATACCTGGATATTCAAACATGTTATTCCAAACGTGGACAGGGTGTGATACAGACAAATGAAGGCAAGTTACTAGAGAACATGAACTCAGAGTCCTTCCAGGAGCGCTTACGTTCTGTGACTACGTCTAACACAGTGCAAACGTTCCGGACGGTTTCCTGATGGAGGCCTGGACATCGGAGCCCTGAAGCCCCAGCCCGGGGCAGTGGCAGGCTGTTCTCCGTCACTCTCCCATCCTCTGCCTCCCTCCCCTCAGTGCTTCAGACCACCTCCCCACAGGAGCCCCAAGGGGAAAGGGGCCACCTCTGCAAAGACCCCCCAAACACCAGAGCTTGCTGGCTCCTTCACATTTTTCTTTCTGTTGCAAAGCAGAGCTGACTGCTGTGCAGGACTTGGCCTGCCATGAGCTGTGGGTCCCTGGCTCCCCACGCCACCCTGTAGCTCCAGGTGGACCAGTGTGGAAAGCACGGAATGCCAGCAATTATGTGAGAGGTGCACAGCACCACGAGGAAACATGCACCGTCCTCACCTGCCCCCCTCAGTGATCAAGCAGGTCGGCACACCCCAGAGGGAGCCAGCCAGACATGGCCGAACTCCCAGGAGGTGGCTTCTGTCCAGAGCTGTCCCACCCTGGGCAGGGCGGGGGGGGGGGGGGGGGGGGGGGGAAGCCGGGCACCGCCTGCCTAGCTGACAAAGGCAGCAATGGCCACCAGCTGTAGAATGGCCTCCAGGCCATGGAGTGCCAGGAGTGTGGCACTGAGGATGGAGTCTGCCCGCAGCACCAGGGTCTGCCAGAGCAGGAAGTAGGTGGACAACAGGGCGCCCCCCGCGGTGAGGGCCAGGCTGATGGCCAGCGGCACCTCGGCCTCCGTCAGGTTGCCCTTGGTGCCTGGAGAGCAGAACAGTCAGGTGAGTGGGCGCTGGGCTCCGGGATACCTACTCTGACCCGTGTGCCCCCAGGAGGGCTGCGAGGAGGCAGGGAGGCCGAGAGCCAGCTCATCACCAGCGCAGCCCTCTGGACGCGGGGCTGAGGACTTTCGGTAAAAAGTCCTGTTGTGGTCAGCACATCACTCATGAAACGTCAGAAAGCAAAGTGTGACAAGGGGTGTGTTTTCCCTAGTGAGGGTAAAAACCAATCACGGGAGAATGTTTGAATCTTAGCCTCTGGATCAGTTGTGGGGACGGGAGACGGAATTTCCTTTTCTAAAAACAATCCCAGTTGCATTCTGATACCTTTTCCTAATTCCAAGTGGACTGAGGAGGTTTTGTTTAAAATTTCCAAAAATATTTTACTCTGGGCTGACGCCAGTTCTGGAAAACGTCATGCACGCTTGTAAAAAACCGAACCAAACCTAAATATTTTAGATAAATGGGTCAGTCGCAGGAAACGTTGCTCCCTGGCTGCTGTAGCTGACCCAGGTGCCCAGCACCGTCCGCCTCCCTCCCAGGTGCATGGGCTCGTCTGTGACAGCAGATACTGATGGCCCCGCATGCCCAGTAGGATGGCCGAGGAGACTCGCTCCTGACCCCTGAAGAGTCCTGCGGCAATGCTGACAAGGGCATGCGCCTGTTTCCTCACTGCTGATTGGGCGTCACTGGCACGCGTGTGCAGGCAGAATGTGCTGACGTGCAAGGGGCCTGAGAGCACCAGCTGTCATCGGCTCTACCAGCTATTCTAATGGAGGAGATGTTCAACCCATGTACGACCCCACTGTAGAACACGGATGTGCTGGCACGTGCATGCCTGTGACTTGGCAGGAGGCAGGCTGGAAGCCTGCACCCTGTGTGCTGAGCACTGGCTGGGCTGGGCTGGGCTAGAGGGCAAAGCTCATGCTGTTGTGGACGGAACAGGGGGCTGCCTGAGGCACTTGAACGGCCCTGGAGCTGGACTGAGGCAGCTCGGGGAGCCCTCCAACTCCTCCAGGCTCCGCTGCCCTGTTGGGGCCTCCACAGAACACTCCAGATCCTTCTCCAGACTGCTGAGGCCAACGGAAGGGGAAGGAAGGAGGTGAGGTGAATATTTTGGGGCTCCAGTCAACTGGCTAAGCTGGGTTCTGATCTCAGTGCTGTCTGTCCCCGTGCAGCTTCTGCAGGATAGCGTCTCTCCCAAGGATGCTGCCAGTGCCAGTGTCGTCTCTTGAATTAAGCTTCTGAATAAACTAATTAATACTTAATGACATCGTAAGGGGAGGCTTGCAAAGCAAGTGGCTAAGCTGTTGACATCAAAAGTGTCTCTAAGAACCACGTTATAAAGGGATGAGCATTTAGAGGTTCCCAGCATGTAAGCTAGTAATTCTGTGATCCTACCTACTATGTGGTCTTCAGTCAACTCACCAAGATATAACCGAGTCACTTCCAGAATCCCCATCAGAAGCAGCAGAGTCAGGTCGAGGACCAGGTAAGGGTGAGGATAACTGAAAACCTGACCTGGAGAACAGCGGGCAACAGAGAACTCCAGTTATGGGGGTGGGGTGGTGCAGCAAGGACACCTCCCATGTGCCTTTGCATTTAAGACTCACTTTTATATGTAATCATCAGGAGTGTAGCTAGGAAATACAGGGCGTAATATGCCCCACTCAGGCAGAACAGCACTTGCAGAGAGATGGACGAGAGCTGGCCAGCGGTTAAGGACCGGTGGGCCTAGAGACGGGCCCTACCCGTGCATCCACCCTAGGGGGCACGCCTTGCCAGGTCTTCAGAGGTGCACCTGTGGGTAGCCATGGGGGACCTGGCCACTGGCTCCCTGCCTGGGGCGGCTTCCACCCATACTCCACTGGTGTCACAGGAAATGCCCTAGCCTGGAACAGGAGGGCAGGCAGGATGGCCTTGGAACACCAGGCTTCCTTGGGGGCAGGGTTACCCTGACTGTGGCCCAGGTTACTAGATAGAAAAAAATGAGATTTTTTTTTCATTTTCTTCAAAGAAAATATATTCTCTTTTTTTGTGCAGTTAAATGTCTACTTAACTTTCCTGAGCACTGTACACTTCTTGTTTGTTTATGGTAAAATGAGTCTGTAAGTATTCAAAGTGAGGGGTCTTCACTCTCTTGCTCCAGGTGGGCCTGGTGGGAGGCAGGCAGCCACCCACTCAAGGTGCAGGGCCAAGAAGGAAGGTGACGGAGCCAGCACGCCCCACTGAAGTTCTATCAACTCTAAATTGTTAGTGAATGTCCCTCCCACTTACAAGTGGAATTTCTACTCAGAACTTATAGAAAGGGTGCGCACGGGAGTTTAAAGGAACAAAAAGCAGGAACTCAGAGCTGCCTTCATGTATCCAGCAAACTAGCCCAAAAGTGCCATCCTGTGGAGGCCTGGGCCTGAGGCCAGCTGAGGGACAGGGCAGAAGGATACCACCGCGGAGGAAGCTCTCCCTGGAAAACAAAGCATATCAGTCAGTGAGGCCCCAGGTCCAACCTGGGTGCTTACCTGGGCCATTTCCAACACCGACAGAGGATCCCGGCTTCATTCTTTCCCCCCGTATTTACAGAAAGAAGCCACCTTTATCTGGGCCTGCAGCTAGGTCCCTTTCTATCACCTCTGCATTTGTCCCTCCGAGGAGGATCTGCCATCTGCTTTTCAGAACCCGAGGCTGGGAGAGTGTGTACTCGGGAGCTCAGCGGTGGAGAGGAAGCAAGGCCTCCATCCACGGCTGAGGTCAGGTCAGCCAGGACAGGCAGATTTCTGCTCCACCGACAGGAGAGAAGGCCCTGGGCACCAGAGGACAGCAGCTTTTCTCATCCTCTGTGCTTTCTGCATTTACCACAGGGATGTAATTAGAGGAGAACCTTTTCTGATTCGGGGTACAAATCTTTTTTTTTTTTTTGTAATTGATGATAGACACTTGCTTTCCTCTAGAATTTTATACATTGCCCCAAATCTCACTCAAACAATAATTTCCTACAGCAGCAATCCAATTTCTTCCAATGGTGTGTCTCTTGGACCTTCTCCTACCCATAACAGGCACACGTCTCCCCTCATCTTAAGATGACAGCCTCTCTCCCTGTGAAATGGTCTTCAGAATCTGAGGTTTTGAGTTTGAAGTATCTTTTTTTTTTTAAAGATTTTTTATTTAGTTGAGAGAGAGAGAGAATGAGAGATAGAGAGCACGAGAGGGAAGAGGGTCAGAGGGAGAAGCAAACTCCCCGCTGAGCAGGGAGCCCGATGTGGGACTCGATCCGGGGACTCCAGGATCATGACCTGAGCCGAAGGCAGTCGCTTAACCAACTGAGCCACCCAGGTGCCCTAGTTTGAAGTATCTTTGACTAATCCTTTGATTGAACGTGTCCTGGGGCAGATTTCCTGTTTCAAGAGGCTCAGAGTAGTGGCACATTTGTGATGTGTAGAAACATCAGTAATAACTTAGAATTTGGCAAACAGACCCTACAGAAGAAGACGTGAGCTATATTGCCAAGCAGCAAGCAGGACAGTGATGTGAACCAGTCTGTCTGGTCTTCTCTCCAGTTTCCGCCCCCCCCCCCAAGGGGGCAGGAGAGGCACTCTCAGCCTTGCTAAGGTTTGTGGGGGACATCAAAGCAGATTCGGGCCTTCTGTGGAGTCTCGCTTGGGCAGGGGTCTTAAATGGGTTAGCACGGGGAATCAGTAACAGAGATTCAGACTCAGCGTCCAGGAGAGGCAGCTCGTGCAGGGAGCATGAAGCCAAGCAGGATCCTTTATAAACTTCCATCACATTACAGGCAGTGCGCTCTTGAAACCCGATCTGTTCTTTTCCAGGACGTAGCTAAACTAGGCTGCCTAGATGCTTGCCATTATTTGGCTGAATTTCACGTTAATTGGGGTTTTCCTCCTTTTTGATTCTTCTCTTGAAGGTTGGCTTCAGACACTTCAAGTCTATTTGCCGGCCAACCACTATCATGGATCAGAACTGTGGGGGCTCAGGAAAAATATGTTGTATAAAAACTTTACATGAAATGGGGCTTAAATAATTAACATTAAAGGTGGCTACAATCAGATTGGCTATTCTATGGATTTTAGACCTCCAGGAGTTCATTCTAAGTACAGCCCTGGCTTTTAGGCCCTAGCATTTTTTGTCAATGAGTTACTGTAACAACAACGAGGCCATCGACAGGTGTTTAAGAAGTTCACGTGGGAGTGGAGAGAACAAATGATCCCCCTGAGGTGACACACAAGGTGTGCACAGAGGTCCTGTTCTGGTGTGAACTTCCTTTCACCGACTGAAGACGCACCGCATTGCCAGGGGCCTTCCACAAAGGTCTGGCGATTTGGGGCCCTCGGGAGGGCTCTGAATAAAACACAGACAGACAACACGGACCTCTGCTCGCTGCCGCAGCTCCCTCCCTCCTCTCTGCTCTCCAGCCGGTGGTTTCGGTGCAGGAGGGAGGCTGGAAAAGTGGGCTTTTGTGTCCAGAGCGGGTGCTAAACTAGACAAAGGTAATTCGGAGCCCAGAGGAACACAGCCACCTCCCACCCGTGCACTTTCTTTTCTACAGAAGTGTTCACACAAGAGCTGTCAGGTTTGCTGAGAGCTCAGTACTGTAAACGACACGGTGACGGCAGGGGCCCTGGTGGCGCGGGCGGGGCCTGCCCCAGCAGGAGCAATGCCCCCAGGCTGGTGAGAGCCTCCGTGGCCCAACGTCAGGGACATCCGTGTGACTGAGGCACACCCGGGCTGCGCCCAGCTTTGGAGCAGGGGCTTGCCACGGGGCCCTGCACTCTGTCCTGGACACGAAGCTGCTGGCGACTGCGACAGCGTGCCCCCAGGGCCGTGACACGCTCTTGCCCTGCCCTCCAGGCACACGGGCCCCCTCGCTCTCCGGGGCGTGCAGCTGCTGCAGCCGGCCACGGTCCACGGCCACACTCGGGGCCCAGCGCCCGGGGCCCACGGCAGCTTGCATGCGGCGCTCCAGGGCCGGCGGCGGGAGATGGAGTCCCCCCCCCC